AGATTTAATATATCACTACTTAAAGATGAAGACTTTATTAATATTTAAAAAGAGTGGACTTCATATTTGGACTATAATGACACTCCCGAAACATCAGCTTCTGTTCTATGGGAAGCAGGGAAAGCTGTGATGAGAGGTAAAATAATTTCTTCCAAAATTATTAGACACTCAAGCAATGGCACTGGATTCACCACTGACACCAGGCGAACTCCAGGAAGCCCTGATAAGTATGCCCAATAATAAGGCTCCAGGTCCAGACGGCTTTCCTGCAGAATTCTACAAAGAATTCTGGTCGATTCTAGCACCAGTTTTTTACAGAACGTTGTTGGAAATCAAAGAAAAGGGCAGACTTCCATCAAATATGAATTCTGCAAACATTAATCTCCTGCTAAAACCAGGCAAAGACCCTGTATATCCCTCAAGCTATCGTCCAATATCCTTATAAATGTAGACCTTAAAATAATCTGCAAGCTCTCTCAAGAGACTGGAGAAAATACCCCCTCTTAATTCATCCTGACCAAACTGGTTTCATAAAGGTAGGCACTCATCAACAATACACGTAGATTACTTAATTTGATAGACTACTGATAAAGTAAAAACCTAGAAACTACAATATTCTCTTTAGACGCAGAAAAAGCATTTGACAGAGTTAACTGGAAATTTCTATTTGCAACTTTACACAAATTTGGTTTTGGATCCTCTTTCATTAACTGGTTAAAAATATTATATAATTCCCCAACAGCTTGTGTCAGAACAAATGACCAGACATCCTCCAGCTTCTGTCTCTTGAGGGGCACCAGGCAGGGATGCCCACTCTCCCCTTCACTGTTTGCAATTTTTATTGAACCACTAGCAGCAGCATTTAGACAGAATTCAGTAATTAAGGGCATAAAATGCAAGAACGTGGAACATAAAATCAGCCTTTATGCAGATGATGTGTTACTCTTTCTCCAAAATTCACAACCAATATCTCTGGGATGATTGAATTGATAAACTCTTTTGCAAGAATATCAGATTACTCAATTAACTGGTCAAAATCTACAGTCCTTCCGATTAATTGCTCCCTCCATAATTCCTCTTCTACACCACTGCAATCGGGAATATAAAATATTGAGGTATTAATGTTTCTCCCAAGCTTGCAGATCTAACTAAATTAAACCATATCCCACTTTTAAAGAAGGTAGAAGGCGATCTGGCTAGGTGGAAATGTCTACCCATATCACTCATGGGAAGGGTTGCCGCTATAAAAATGATGGTCTTACCAAAAATAAATTAGTTATTCTCAATGATCCCAACTAAACCGCCACAAGATTGGTTCAGATCTCTAGATTCATGTATGTCCAAGCTCCTTTGCAAAATAAACCCCCACGTATAAGCTTAAAAACACTACAAAAGACCAAGGATAGAGGAGGATTAGAACTACCTAACTTTCAGCACTACTTCTTAGCCAACAGGCTTCAGTTTATCTCAGGATGGCTAAAACATACCCTCTTAGATGAACCTTGGCTAGATCTAGAACAAGCACTTTGCAATAATCTAGAGATTTCAGATCTATCAGCTCAACATCCAACGACATGAATGCTTCAAAAGCATCAGCATCAGCTCTTCTCTGACAGCATGGTGGGAGTTTCTAAATTGACGGAGTCTTCATTAATCCCATGCAAACGTACACCTATCTGGAACAACCCTGACATATTACAAAACAATAATATGATAAACTTTTCAGATTGGAGTGGTAAAGGAATCAAATATTTAGAACATATACTAGAAGGAACAGAATTTATTTCATTTGACAGACTAGTTACACAATATGGGATCAACAAGAAAAGATTTTTAGAATATCAACAAATTAAATCCATAGTAAAAAGAAATTTAAACCGGGTCAAGTTGAACTACAAACACCACCAAGTGTGGTTCAATTTCTTACTCTTAAAACCCCAAATTACTATCCAAAATATACAGAATGCTTTCTAAAATAGATGAATCAATATCACTTCCTATTGCAAATGGGAAGCGGATTTATCAGTTAACTTAGACCAAAACTTCTGGTCTCAGATTTGCTTAAAACCTTTCATCTAATTAGAAATCCCAGTCTTCAATTAATTCAATACAAAATACTACATAGAGTGCACTATACAGGTCATCGGATGTTCAAGATGGGCTTTACGTCTACCAACAACTGCTCACACTGTCAAACCAATACACCGGACAATTATATCCACGCTCTTTGGTTCTGTCCACCAGTGCAGAAGTTTTGGCGCGAGATATGTGAAGACTTATCAAAGTGTCTGAACTGTAACGTTCCAACTTCCCCTTTAGTGTGTTTGTTGGGCAGCTTAGATAATGTCACTACAGAAAAGAATATAGTCCATATGGTTTTTACTGCCCTTTGCATAGCCAAGAAAACAGTCCTCATGAACTGGAAAAATAAAATAATTTTAATTCTAACCAATATAGAAATTATCTATTAGATTACATTAGTCTTGATACAGCCTCTGCCACCACATTAGATCAATTGCTCTGGGCTCCTTTGATTAGCTCCATCACCTAGTGGGGTGGGGGGTCATAGTTTGGTCCCGCCTTCGCTGTTGTGATTGGTGTGGAGTAGGGACAGGCTTAGAGCGTCGGGGGTTCCCCAGGAGCATCTTTCTTGGGGGGCTCAACCCGGGGTAGCGGTCATGGCCTATTAGGAGCTCTGTTGGCTCTTAGGTGACTGTTTCCTCGTGGCTGCGTGCAGCGGGGCTAGGGGAGGTCTGTGCTGACAGACGTGGGTTACTGACCTGGTAGCCTGGCTGCCCCTGGGTGGGTCCGGGACGGGCGTGAGGTTCTGGGGGCGCTCTGTCTCTGGGCTGGGGCCCTGGCTGGGCCTCGGGGCTTGGGTCCTGGTTGGTATGTTGCTGGGGTTGTGGGCGGGTGGGTGTATGGGGCCCGGCCCTGGCGCAGGGTGCCGCCAGTGCATCAAGCCACCTGGGGGGCTCTTCAACTGGTGGGGGAGGTTGTTACACCTTGCAGGAGCTCTCCTCTGTACAGGAACTCAATCTGCAGTAGGGGGAGCTCCATCTCCAGCTGCCTCCCTCTTCCCGCTCCACCACAATCACCCACACATGCAGGGCCTTGGGGTAAAGGTGTGTCACCAGGGTGCAGGGGAGGCATCCCCCCCTCTGTCCCCTTCTGGCTTCTTGTGCCTCAATTTTATCTCACAACTTAGACATTCACATTACTCACACTCTGCGAATGATTCGCTTCCTTATAAACCATTGAATCAGATACCGAAGCAGTTAGGTTCTAATGAAGCTTCGGACGTCACTGATCACGTGACTCTGGCCAAACGAATCAAGCTTCGACACAGTGCTTCTGAAGCAGTGTGTTGATTTTTTTGACACACGCACCGGAGCTTCAGCTTCAAGCGGACCATCACTAGTAATGGCCTGTATTTGTATAGCGCTTTACTAATAATAATAATAATAATAAACTTTATTTATAAAGCACACTTAAAAACCAAGGGTATGCCAAGGTGCTTAACAAGTAAAATAGAGTATAGGAGGAGGATAATAGAAATAGGACCAAAGCAAGTACTAAATATGCAAACAGATAACTGTCACTAATACATAGGAAAGCAACAGGTACAGAGCAAACAAGAATTTAAATGAGCATAGAAGTGCATGATATAAAATCATAAAAGAAATATTAACTAGAGGGAAAGGCAAGATTGAATAAGTGGGTTTTTAATCGTGATTTGAACAGTGCAATGGAGTCAGATGCGCGGAGGTCGAGAGGAAGGGTATTCCACAGTACCGGGGCAGCCAGAGCAAACGCACGGTCACCCCGGGACTTCAGTCGAGATCTGGGTTGGGTCAGAAGTAGTTGAGTGGCAGATCTGAGTGTTCTAGCAGGAGTATGTGGTTTGAGAAGTTCACTAAGATAACTTGGCGCTAATTTATTAATAGTTTTGAAAGTAAGGAGTAATATTTTAAATTGAATACGGTACTTTATGGGCAGCCAATGCAGGCTAGCTAGAACAGGGGTAATATGGCAAATTTCCTGGTACCAGTCAAAAGGCGGGCTGCTGCATTTTGGACTGTTTGCAGTTTAAGAAGAAGAGAAGAGGGAAGACCATAGTACAAGGAGTTACAATAATCCAACCTGGAGGTCACAAAAGCGTGAATAAGCTTCTCCAGGTCCTCATGCGGAATATAATGCCTAGCCTTAGAGATAAGGCACAGTTGGTGGAAGCTAGATCTCACTACAGCAGACACTTGCTTATCGAGTTTGAGCGAGCTATCCAGCAGTACACCCAAGTTACTGACATAGTCACAAGAAAAACTAGCAAAGGAACCCAGGGCAGCACAGAGTTGGGCACGAGGGATTTACTGTTGAACACCACAATCTCAGTCTTCTTATCATTTAAAACGAGGGAATTACTCAGGAACCATTCTTTGACCTCCCGCATGCATTCTTGAAAGTAGTGCAGGGACACAGCAAGGTCGTCAGTAAGTTCAAAATAGATCTGTATGTCATCGGCATAACAGTGGAAGGCGATATTGTATTTTTCAAAGATTGTGCCTAGAGGGAGCAAATACAATGAGAGAGGGAGCAAATACTAGTCCCTAAGGACCCCAAAGCGCTTTACACCACCAGTCATCCACCCATTCACACACCGGTGATGGCAGCTACATTGTAGCCACAGCCACCCTGGGGCGCACTGACAGAGGCGAGGCTGCCGGACACTGGCACCAGCGGGCCCTCTGACCACCACCAGTAGGCAACGGGTGAAGTGACACAACGACTGAGACTGTCGGAGCTGGGGCCCGAACCGGCAACCTTCTGATTACAAGACAAACTGCCAACTCTTGAGCCATGATCGCCCAATTTTTGTCAATTTGCTGTTAAATCCTAGCATTTTCTGAATTTTATTGACTCTCAGATTTACATTTAGTATTGTAACCAACAGAGCGGTTTAAATAATGCAACGTTTATCTTTTCACTGACCTCCTTTTGTCTGTGCGATGTTCCAGATAAGCTGATATCAGAACGGTCTTTGTCCCTTTAACTGCTGCAAGAAATGCGTATGGTCTCTGAGTGTATGGTCCCTGGGAACCTCATTGGTGGAAAAAAAAAAGGTTATTATAAATTGTTTAATAATAATATCATAACTTTGGCACATAGGGATGTTTGGTCTAGATGCTGCACATCCAAAGTCATCATATTAACAGCTTTATTAGGAGCATTGTCAATGGCAGCTGCAAAGCTGTAGACTTAAAATTGAACATAGGCTTTTCTCCATAGAGATCTCTGGTTGTCACGGCCAGGCGGATCAGCTGCACGCTGATCAGCTCTCTCACTCTCTCTCGCCAGGGCAGAACTCATTGTGGGTTCACGCCCTCGACAGATGAGACACCTGGGTCTCATTAAGACGATCAGCATTTAAACCAGGAGGCGACTGCTGTTCATCGCTGGATCGTTGTCTACCACGCGTTAGTGAAGTCAAGCTACAGCAAGTCTAGTTAATAGTATTTTCCTTTGTGCGTTGTACTTAACCCTGTCTCCCTGTCTACAGAGCTTCCTGGATTTTCCCCCGTGTGATTCCCGTGTGGCAGTGTCGGAGTGTGAGCCTGTGATCGTGTGTGTGGATGATCTGAAGAATGCGTGCTTTCCCCCTGGACTTCCCTGGAGACCCCTTCTTAACTCACTCAGCTGTATATAGCACCCCCCGCACCTTCTTGTATATACACCTGGTGAATTGTAAATAATCCTTCTTGTGAGCATCAGAACCGGAGTCCTGCGCTTGAGTCCTCCTCCAAACCGTAACACTGGTAGACCCCCACCAACTCCAACTTAAATTACAAATTTTAGGTTACAGTAAAGGTCAAAACTAACTAAAATAACTTCCAGTATCTTTTACTATAACTATATAACTTTTGGCAGTCATATTTTAATGCATGTATAGTCATATATATTTCATAGCAGTTCTGTATTTTCACTGAGGTAATCTTTATTTATTTTAGTTTTGCATCACCATGCATTGCATTGTATTTTTATGCAAATGAATAGATTTCAAATAGATTTATTGAAATTGAGCTAATAATTATGACACAATTTTTTAAAGTGTCATAATTAGTCTTTGATGCTTCTTCTTCATTTATGTGCAGAAAACTTTCAGTTTATATCTCCTGAGCAACGGCCACCACAGTTGAGGTTTCCTCACTGACGTAACTCTTTTAATAGTTTGTGGTGATTGGCCTGATCAGCCAATCTACTAAAACACACCAATGATTGGACTGAACTACATCCAAAACACTGATAATAGGAATCTAAAGAATGATCAGTAATACGAGTGGGACCAATTACATTTTGTACCAAAAATCAAATATATCAAACAAAACATGAATTATAGTGAGATTTGAAACAAGAACAAATAAGTAAAAACATTATAATAATTGATAGCAATATCTAACAAGTAAAAAAAACATTGTTTTATATTTTAAAAAAGAAAACCATTCTAAAAAGACACTTAAAATTTAAAATGTCACAATAGAGGGTTAAATAAAAATCAAAACAACAGAATTGCTGTAGAAAGATGAAATGATGATTTAGTGAGTGAGCAGGAAGAGGAAAGATTTCTTAAGAACATATAGAACAAATATCTTAAAATGTAAAAATATAAAATGCAATGTAAAATCTTTTACATTGAGAAGTATTCAATAACAGTAAGCTTACCAGCATGTTCTGGACTACTGTTGTGAGTCATATGTGGCTCATCTAGAATTGTTGGGACTGTTCCATTGTACTTCCAAAGCATCCGATGGTAGAATAGTCCTGTGCTACAGAGGTAAAAAATGACAGGGTAATGAAGACATCCAGAATAGCAGCAGCTACCACAGTGTTGTTTTAAGTACTTTAATGTTATATAGTACTTTATACTGTCTGTCTGCATGGTCTGCTTTTGAAACCTGTTTTTCTACAAAAACATTTTTCCCCATTGTTAAAGTGCATTAAAAAGTTCAAGGCTAAATAACTATAACTGCTAAGGTAGGATCGTTTTGTTAATGGAGATCTATTTATACAACTTTTTGTCCCACGTCCAAAATGATTGAACACTCAAAAAATGAAATCGGAAGTTCAACTTGTACTTTTTACAAAATATTTTCATGTTTCTATGGTGAACGTAAGTAAATCATGTAGTATCTGTATGAAATTCAACAACTTAATTTGTTCTTGTTGAGATGACATGATACAATCTAGTAAGAGTGGTTAGTTGCCTGCACTCATGAAATTCACCAGACCACACAAGATTTTAAACCACAGGAAAATCACCAGAGTTATAAGAGGCACACATCTATACACACACCGTGTGTATGCTATTGCTATTTATTGTGGTTTAACTGTCAAGGACAAAAACATACAGAAAATTCTGCAAGCTTTCCTACTTTTGTGAAGTCTGCATCAACAGCTTGGTGGTGCAGTAATTAGTACTGTTACCTCACAGCAAGAAGATCAAATCCACAGTCTGGCTAGTTTGCTGTAGGCCTTCTGGTTTCCCACAGTTAAAAATTATGCAGTTGTTAGAGCTAGGTTAATTGCTCATTGCTAAGAAGTAGGAGGCACATATACAAACTGTCGTAATTCCTACACCGTTCACCTGATTTGGATTTAAATACCCTCAAATAAAAGCTGACAGTCTGCAGTTAAAGCATATCTTGTTCGTTTCATTTGGAATCCATTGTGGTTGTGTATGGAGCCAAAAATGTTAGAATTGTGTCAATGTCCCAATATTTATGTCTCTGTGTTAGCCCTGTGATAGACTGGCGACCCCTTACCATGGTATAGGCCACAACAACCCTGATAAAGATAAGAGGATGGATGGAGTGGAAGTTGTTGTAACTCCATTGAAATTTTATGTTAACCAGAATCTAGACTTTGTTGAACATTATGTAATATGAAGACAACATGTGGTATTTAAGTGTTGGGGTGAAGGTTATTGAATAATATTGGAATACAGTGAATTAAAGAAAATTGTGAAGGACTGAAATATTTCAAGAGCTCAACTTACTCCATCTAAAAATGTTTCAATCATGTTTTATCAACACAAAATGCACAGATTTATTGAATATGAATAAATTGTGTTGATTTAACTCAGTTATTTAAGATGCTGCCAAAGCAAAACATTTGTGTGCAACTAATGTCCACTATTGAATTAAGCAAATCCAACATGTTCTTTTGTTTAGTGAAGGATGTCCACAACTTGTGTGTTTATATAGACAAGCCAAGCTCTAGCCTCTCTGAGAATCTGAAGTGTATAAATTCAAATGTGTCTCTCCATCGTAATGGAAGCATTAGCATTTGTAAACCTAAAACTGTAAGAGTGGCTCCAGTAGATTCTAGGGTTTCTGCACAGAGGTGTCTGTCTGTGCAGTATTAGGAACAACTACAGATACTGCACAGGACCTTCAAACTCTCAGGCCTCTGGTAGATAACATGAGTGGGGGTGAGAAGGAGATTTTTTGTCATAACACTTGTCATGGTCCTGGGTCGGTGACCCAGCGCTTTAAGTTTATTATTATCATTTTCTAGTTTATTATGATGATTATTATTGTTTGAGTTCTCTTCTGTCTGCCTCTGAGTCTGCGTCTGTATCTCTGTCTGTCTATGGTGTCACCCCGTCTGTTTGTGAATCTGTCCTTTCAGTTCAGCGTCTTGTCTGGTTCCCTGTGTCTGAGTTTCCTGTTTTATTGTGAAGGTCTGTGTCTTATGTGAGTGTGCTCAGTTTACTACTCCCTTGTCTCGTCAGTTCTGATTTCTCCCAGCTGTGCTCTCCTTCTGTGTCTCTTTCCCCTCGTTACTTTCCATTGTATTTAAACCCTGTGTTTCTCTGAGTCAGTGTTGTGTCGTCCCTCATGCTGTTCTGGACCTCCCTGTGAGTTTTGGTGTGTTGTTTCCCAGTTTAGATTAGTTTGTATGTTTTTTCCCTGCCAGCAAATAAAGCTGTGATTTTGAGTTCAGCCCCTGAGTCTGTGAGTCCTGCATTTTGGGTCCAACTCCTGCCTGCCGCGCAGCGATTCATGACAACACTTTTACGCAAGGAAACCAGTCAAATCACAAACAGATAAAAGTACTTTAAACTTCACAGGGTTTTAATGTGTTTTGTGTGCTACTACACATTAAGGTGGCACTGCTTTTTCAATTGTTATCAGTTTTTAAATGGATGAATATAGATCTGATTACAACTAAACACTGCTGCAACTCCTGCTGACTCCTGTAATTTCACTCACCTGTAGGTGTAATATATTAGAAAGATGACGGTGATGACATAAATGATCCACATGAACTGTTTGATCTTTGGCTTGTTGCCCATCGCAGAGATATTATTTGCTTTAGCTTAGATGCTTCTTTTCAGTCTGGATGGTGAAACCTGAACAAGCAAAAGACAATGAATGATTTTTTTTATCTTTTATCAACTTCTGCTTTAACTCATCTAACTCATACAGGAAGGTGCTGCACACAGAGCAAACGAAGACAAATAACAGCATTTCTAGAAAAAATGTTGAAGGAATAAGCATTTAAGGCATTTAACACACACATTGACTATACAAATAAATCCAAAATAAATGAGAAACACACACTGAGATGCAGACTGATTAAACACAGGGAACACAGAGAGACAACAGAGAGCAGACTAAAATAAACAGGCCATGAAAGGGAACAAAACTCAATGAAGGGCCATGGCTATCAATATAATATAAAAATAACTCCATAAAGAAAGAACAAGACCAAAAAATTCAAATCACATACAAATGTCACATGAACATTTTGTACCTTATAAAGATGAAAGCACAATGCATGACAGGAAAAGCAAGAATGACAAGTAAAACCTGATGTAACTCATTGATGGAATTTCTTGCCTTCTTAATGGGGTTCGGACCATCACAGTTGTGTTGTGCAGAAGTTAGGTTGGTACACAGCTGAAAGCCCTATTTTATGATGTTAGCATTAATATTATGGTTAGAACCAATCAGCTAAAAAGTGCACGCAAACCAGTAAACGAATTAAAACGAATAATTACTGTTGAGAAACTATAATTCAAAAATTACAATTAAAATCCTCAACAACAAAAACAACAACTGGTGAAAAATATAAACAATATGTAAACAACTTAACAACCTATCTCTCCAGGCTAGTATCAATCCGATACCGATGCTGACTTGTTATCGATACAATCGATATTTGGATTGATCCTTCCACCACTAAACGGCAGTCCATCATTACTAGGGCTGGGTATCGTCACTGATTTCTAGAATCGATTCAATTCCGATTCACAAGGTCCCAAATCGATTCGATCCACGATTCGATTTAAATCTGGGAAATTTTGACAGTCAGAAATATAATTCAGATCAGTACATTTACATATTTTTGTATCAATAAAAGGAAGCTGACACACGCAAGACTTTATCAAAGGTGTGAGCATCACAGCAGATGCCTTTGTGTCAAAGTAGCTGAGGATAAAACACAGAAAAACATGAAGGTGATTTTCCTGGCCTGGGATTTTATAAAAATATTCTGCAGTACATCAAAAACGAAAGAAAACCATTAATCAACATATGAACATTACCTCTGACGTTACAGCGGTTTTATTAGAGTTTTGCATTTTGAATAATTTTAAAAAGTTTAAATTTGTTCAGTATTGAACAGCAGAAATGAGGTTTTCTTTTCGGAAGAATGTAAAAGGGAAAAAAACAGCGGCCGACAGCCTGTAAACAACGGTAGACTTGTGCGTAACAAGCAAGCGAATAATGAAGAAAGCGAAACTGTTCGAGAGAGAGAGAGGGGGGGGGGGGGGGGGGGGAGGGAGGGAGAGAGGGAGAGAGAGAGAAAGAGAAAGAGAGAGCTGTGCATCGTGGTGGAAGCAAAACAGTAAAAGTCAGAGTGAATTCATGACGATGTTTATGTGAAGCGTAGTTTGGATCTTCTTTTGCTGCTGGTTCGGTCAACATTGTTTGGAGAGACATCAAACTAACAGCTTTAGAATCAGCGCATAAAGGGGGTGAACACAAAGCGCCGACCCGCTGACAGATCAGAATCAGCGAGCTGTCGGCTTTCAGCCCCGACTGTGAGAAAGGCGACATCTAACTGATTCTGATCCGCGGGTCGCGCTGTGTGTTTAAGTCTATGTGCAGAATCCCTGTACCTGCTCTCATTTACTGTCTTAACTGTTTGGTGGTTCTTGAAATTTTGTGAGATGTCACCAGAGATTCTGGCATTTCGGGCAAAATAAATTTATATTAAAAAATCGATTCAGGATTTTAATGAATCGATTTTACATTATCCAAGCCAGAATCGATTTTAATCGATTATAAAAACCCACCCCTAATCATTACTTTAAGAACTGAAGGTCAGGCAGTCAAGAAAAATTGCTAAAACTTTGAATGTGTCCACAAGTGAAGTCTCAAAAACCATCAAGCTCAACAGTGAAACTGGCTCACATGAGGACTGCGCCAGGAGAGGAATATGTCATGACAAGCATCACTGTGAAGTTGCAATTTTAATCAGATGGTTATTACCTCAATTATTCTAAAGAGTATACTGAAAGCTACATGAAAATATGAGCACTAATAATAATGATATCCATTAATCAAAGAATGAACATGTTACTTACATTTGTAATGCAATTATTTTTTGTACTTATTTAGAACCAGAAGAAAAAAATCTTCTTGTTCTGCTGGTGAAGCATAGATATGTCAAAAGTAAAACTGCAAAAGCATCTGACATTCAGAGCCGCATAAGATTTCCAAAGAGCAGTGGAGAAGCAAAATGGCAGTATGTCGCTCTGACAAACATTTATAACGTATGTCAGAGGCACTGGGCTACGCCCACTTTCACAGCAACCCGGACTCTCAGAGGCAGTTACTCGGTAAACAGTTTCAGCTTTATTGTTAGGACACACATTTTTCATTAGAAGGATGAATGTGATTTATAGATTAGCAGAACTCAATAAATTTGGCCTCAAGAGACATTTTGTCTGATCTGCGCAGAAATGTCACTGAAACCTTGAAATGAACAGAACTGGCATTTCCTCAATAATCAACTGAAGATTATTCAGTTGTTCTGATAAACTTTGAAAAAACCCTTTGTCAAGACACACCCAATTACACGAAGGAAAAGAATCTTCCTGGAAAAAGATTCTTTTTTTTTTTTCTAGGGATGATATTCATCAAAGAAAGAATGAAGACGTTACTTAAAAAAACATGATAAAATTTTCCAGTTCTGCTGGTGAAGCATGAATAACCAGTCAAAAGTCTCAAACAATGGTACATTCAGATTATAGTCTGCGTCAAAGCTGCTGCTGCTGATTTATAACTTACAATTTTTTGAGATGTTAGAGCTGGACATGCTGTGGTGGGCGAAAACACCAATTCTTGCTTCTGGACAGCAACCCACGCTCACGGTATAAGCTAATTTAGAAATTATTTACCCTAAATTTAGAACAATACAAAGTTAACTTTATTGTTATTTCATCATGTTGTCTGACTCTAAATTATTGCTATTAGTTTATAAAAGAAATAAAAGTTCATCTGTGGTGCAGTGCTCTAAAAGACAAGAAAAATATGCAAAACATTTGTTTACTGATCTGTGAAGATATGTAACTGAAGGTTTAAAACTCACTGAACCAGTTGTGCCAACCAGTATTGCCACAACATGCCGCTCCCATGTCCCACTGTGCAATAGGTCGGCAGCCTTAACATGAAATTTCCCACTCGTGGGACTAACAAAGGTATCTTATCTTATATTATATTGATATAACAACAAATTATCATAGTAGAATAGAAGTCTGGAATGTGAACATAATCCAATCTGTTAGTGAGGATGTCTACATCAGTGTTCTTGATGTTGTGGAACGAGATGAGATGGGTTGGCTTGGTAAAAAAGCAGCAGAGAGTGAGGTTAAATGAAAGGAGTAAATGGTCAGTTATGGGGATTTCAGCAACGGAAAGATTTGAATATGAATGTTGAAATCTCTCAACATTTGGGGAGAGAGATGAAAGGTGGGTTAGTAAATTAGCAAAATCCCTGAAGAAGACTGAGTTAAGCTGGGGGGGGGTTACAGTAGCTATGATGGTGTCAGTCAGCTCACATGCAAGGCACTCTAGGGAACTAAAGGTATCAATATTGAGTGGCAGGACTCTCAAGTGCTGTTGAAAAATGTTTGTGAGACCATCCCTTCGATCTGAGCAGCGAAGTTCCAAAAAGTAAATAAACCTAAAAGAAGTAGATTTATCCAGTTAATATAAGTCATCAGGTTGTTGCCAAGTTTCAGTTAAACAGAAAAAGTCAATGTAACAGTCAGATAGGAGGCTTTGGATGAGAGGTCCCTTATTTGTCAGTGAACAGATGTTTAAAAGGCCAAAGTTGAGTGGAGTATTTTCTTTTTTGCCAATTGCGGTGGGCGGCCTGGTCCGGTGGACTAGAGACCGGTGGTTGACAACATGATAAGGGTTCCTGCGAGGGAGGAGAGTAGCAGACCAAAACGATTTCATTCCACTGGAGTTGTGGAAAATCCTGCGGGACCCACGATAGATGTATCTCCGGCGAGGCTGGAAAGTGATGTCTGGGGTGGATGGGAGCGACAGCTAGCTGCGAAGGGGCAGGAGCTCAGCGCTTGTATAGCGGAGAAATCCAGGCGTGAGCTTTAGGAGAATCCAAAATAGTGCAGACCAGCTCAAGAACATATTGGCCCACATCTTAGAAGATGTGGAAGAAAAAGAGCCGAGGTGGCCGGAGCAACAAACAGTAGACTAAAGTTAGCTCAAACAGTTAAGCTAGTACAGCTCACTGGGAAGTAGATGTCAGAGCATTTAGCTGAATTAGCAGATGTTGAAGGCAAACGTTATAAATGAATCCCTGGAAGAGATTGACCTGGTGTTGTCCTGAAGTGTAAAATCTGGAATCCAAGTAACACCACTAGACCAAAACATGTCTATAAACAGGTATACACATATTGCGTGTATTCTCGGAATTTCCGGGAATACACGCTTCTTTTGCGGTGGCGGAACACCAAAGTAATTGCATACGGAGCTTGCTTCTTCGACATATTTAAAAGTTCTGAACAAATGTCAGTTCTTCTACAGAAAATCTTATGTACACAAATGCGCGTTCCAACTTCTTATCTGGTGCACATCTTTTATTTTGACAGCGAATGCGCACCTGCGGACCACTTATGTGCAGCCCTGTCTATAAATCATGGACAAGGCTGCTCTCTACTGCGCTGAGACCAAACTAGCACTAGAATTACTGAGCCTTTTTTTCCCTGGTGCAATTCACCATGGTAGTTTCTATGTGCAATATTTTTCATATGCAATATTAGTTCTTGTCAATCCTTGTCGATAGATATATACCGTAATTGTCGGGCTATAAGCCGCTACTTTTTGCACAAGCTTTGAACCCTGCGGCTTTTAGTCAGGTGCGGCTTTTCTATGGATTGTCCATGAGCGGATTTGTTTTGTTTGTTCCGCTGTTGTACGGCACTACGTTGCCTGGCGGAAGGATCAGGGTTCAAGAGTGGTATGTTGGTCACATGTCCATCCGCCAGGCAACGTAGTGCCGTACGAAGTAGCGCGAAAAACAAACTTCAAAGTAGCACTACGCGTTCAGCGGGAGGCGTGGATGATGAGCGGCGATAAACTTGCAAAAAGCAAGTTATGCCCAACTCCACCATTGGATTCTGACAGCGTGGAAAAGTGTGAAAACATCCAGGATCACCAACGGATTTCGAAGGGCTGGACTGCTGCATGATGGAGAGGAGGCTCTTCAGAGGGTGTTCGACTCTGACACTGACAACGAGGATTTCTTTGGTTTTGAAAGTGACAACGAAGGAGAGAAGCTGAGAGTGGATGATGAAGCCACCCTGAGCCTGTTCGTTTCCGACACTGGAGAAGAGGACTTTGGTGGTATTATTGCGCAGGAAGAAGAGAAAGATGGTGGTGAATGACTGACTTTTCTTCTTGTTAAAGCCGCGTGACTGCACCTGAGCCTAAAAGGTAGGCCGAATCAATTGTTCTGGTGTGCTGTAGGTTATTGTTATGTACCGTATTTTCACAACCATAAGGCGCACTTAAAAGTCTTAGATTTTCTTCAAAAAGTACGGCGCGCCCTATAGCGCAGTGCGCCCTTTGTGTTGTAAGGAGGACGTAGTAGAGAACACCATGAGAACGCTAAAGGGTGAAGTGTGTGCGTTGACTTTATTGCACATACCTGTATAAAAGAACAGGTATGTGCGTTATGCAGGACACCGTTGTTTTAACAACCCTGAAAATGGCAAAGAGACACGCTTACGAAGCACAGAGGAACATGGAAATCGAGCAGCGGCGAGAGAATTTAAGATTAATGAATCGATGGTTCGCAAATGGAGGAAGCTGGAAAACAAGCTCCGACAGGTCAAGAATACGCAGCTGAGTTTCCGCGGACATAAGGCGATCATCAAGCAAAGAACGAGCGGGAGAAGCGTTTCGACGGTCACCATTCAGCTAAAAGCAGTTTCACTTTCACTTTTTATGAAACTGTGCCATTTTTCCATCCGGACCAGGACTATGGTAGCGCAGCAACTTCCAGCGGATTATAAGGAAAAGCTGGCCATCTTCCGCTCCTACTGCAGCAAACACATCGGCGACAAACACATCCAGCGATGGATGACCGATGGAGACCACAGTTTCACCAAGAGTGGAAGGCAGCGCCGGGCGAGTTACGCCACAATTTGCCAATGGATTGTAGATGCTTGGGCTAACATGTCTGCTGGCACTGTTGTTCGAGCTTTCGGAAAAACGGCATCATTTCCGAGGAGCCACACGGCACGGAAAGTGACTCTGACAGTGAAGAAAGTGAACCTGGCATGTTTGATGGAGATTTAGCGCAGCTGTTCAATTCAGACACAGAGGATGAGGACTTCGATGGGTTTGATTGATGATAAAAATGTGAGTACCAAACTTTGTTTTGCTCCTGCTTTATTTTTAAATACGCACACTTGTATGCTTGTGTGTTGTTGATGATGACGATTACTGGTAATAAAAATGTGAGTAAGGTACCGAACTCAGGTTTGCTCCCGCTTTATTGTTAAATACGCATACGGTACTTGTATGCTCCCTATGATCCAGTGCGCCTTATGTGTGTGTTAAATACAGTAATGGCACACATAACTGAGACTGCGCCTTTTAGCACAGTGCGTCTTATGGTCGTGAAAATACGGTACTACATTTGTTACTCATTTATGAAGCACAGTACATGTTTTGTACTTGTAATTACCGCTACTTGTACATATACCCTAAAAGGTTATGCAAATATGTACCCATAACTTTTTTTCAAAATATTAATAAAAGAGGTGTGTCTCCAAACAGCCATCTCTTTCCTGACAATTCGCTTTGTGCATATTCTCTTACATATGATAAGTCAACATTGAAACACCTGCGGCTTTTAGTCAGGTGTGGCTAATGTATGTACAAAACCGGATTTTCCCCTGATTTTAGCTTGTGCGGCTAATATTCAGGTGCGCTCTGTAGTCCGGGAAATACGGTACATGATATATACATGAGTGCAGGTGGTGATCAGTGCCAAACATGGAATGATGCAGTGAACACAGCGTAGGGTCATGTGTTAGTGGTGGGAACAGTCATACGGTTATTGTTCATGTGTCCGACAGCAGAGGGGAAGAAACTGTTCTTATGGCGAGAGGTTCTGGTGCGAATGGACCGGAGCCTCCTGCCTGAGGGGAGCAGGTCAAACAGACTGTGTCCAGGGTGAGAAGGGTCA